ATAACTCTTTATTGAATAAATGTTGTTCACCCTGGTAAATTTGTATGGGTTTAATCCTACTCTATAAATAAAAATTTTAGTGAAACTTATCAAAATATGATTCTATAATATGTGAGTGAGGCAGAGCCATATTGTACCCATATAATATCTGATAACGGCAATGATGACCTGGTAAATCATTGGCTGAGTCTTATTATTTGCAAATTGGAAACAATTAAATTTTCTCTCTGTGGTGGACTTCATACTTCTACAATTTAAAGCCATTACAAATGCAACTACTATTCTGGCCTTTTTCTTGGATAGTAGGAAACCAGGTATACAGAAAATTAATTACCCAAAAGTTAACAGGAAAAAAAAATCCTTCCATGTTTTAGTAAGATAGGCTTAACTAATAAGCAAACCAATTAACTTTCCACTTTTAAGAAGACCAAACTCAGCTCAAATCAGATGGCTTTTTGAAAACCACCCAAGAACCAACAACCTCTCTTAAGCCAGTTGCTCACAAAGTATGATCAAGAAAGGATTTCAGATCCTCCAGATGGTGTGGGGGCAGTTCTCAAAATGCAAAGATGAGATGTGTTAGTGCCAGCTAGCCCTCACCAAACAAAGAAACAGAAAGTTGAGGCAACTGTGTTCACTTGAAGTGAATTAGAAAATGGAAATTCAGCAAACCCCCCTCAAACTGCCTAAAATAATTAAGTGTTGACAGAGCATAAAAAACTATCATTAGATAATAATAGATTTGGAATCCCAATTCTAAATAAACTAGTTACGGGGCCAGGCACAGTGACTTAGGCTTGTAAACCCAGTACTTTCGGAGGCCAAGGCGAGCAAATCACTTGAGGTCAGGAGTGTGAGACCAGCCTGGCCAGCATCGAAAAACCCCCGTCTCTACTAAAAATACAAAAATTAGCCAGGTGTGGTGGTACATGTCTGTAATCCCAGCTACTCAGGAGGCTGAGGCAGACGAATTGCTGGAACCTGGGAGTCGGGGGTTGCAGTGACCCAAGATTGTGCCATTGCACTCCAGCTTGGGTGACAAGAGCCAGACTCCATCTCAAATAAACAAACGAACAAACTAGTTACAAATGAAAAGTTTTAGTGGGAAGGCCACAATTTTCTTAACTTTCTCCCATATCAGCAAGTATTGCCTGTCCCTTGTTTTACATTATTCACTGCAACTAAAGAATCTTTTGCACCAGCACATCGCCTTGTTTGACACTAAATCACATGGCATAAGTATGAAGATTCAAATGACAATTTTCATTATAAATGTTTCCATTATGAAAGTGTGAAAACACACTTCAAAATGTGCCACATACTGTTACGGGGGGAGGGGAAGCCAAAACAAGTACTTTTACCTCTTGCATCATTACCTTGTGTCTGACAACAGTTCTAAGCACGATGCTTTTTAAGTGCTTGATAATGTAATATTTAAATTGCTTTCTGAATAGCCCATGTTGAATATATCTGTGTAATAAGCTTAAGATCTCTGAAATTTTCATCCCGTAGTTGTCACCTTTCATGTAGGTCAAACTACAGATTTTTACCAATAGGTGAATCCTTCTAAAACAAGTACAGTATTAAATTTAGAGCTGAGAAATTGGATTTTTAGAATAAATTGTTAATAGTGGTAACACTTAAAAGGGTCACAAGTTTTTTCATTTTCCTTTCATTTTATATGGTCGCTTCTTTTTATACATTTTCTCAAATTCTGGATAGTTATCTGCTATTTCAAGAAATCACAAGTACGAGAAACACTTTAGTTCTATCTACCCATTGGTAGAACTATATAGAAGTCAACTTTTTCATTCAAGTTCCCTTTTAAGTTACTCCACAAATATAAACAAAATAAAAAAATTAAAACATAAATAGAAACAAACTACTAACATCGATTTTCTTTCATTTACTTAAAAGACCCTCTATTTCTACCTTTGAAGTATTATTTTACTGCAGTGGCCACTGCTATTGGTTATTTATCTAGCATCCATTTCCCTTTACCCCTTTGTAATGGAACCAACCTTGTTCAATCCCTCCTGCTTATTCCACATTGAAAGTTGTAGGGATGAACCATAATTCATTCAAACCAAGTTTGCCCTTGACTAGTTCAAGAAGTAAATTTGGTTAGGGCATGGTATTCTCCTGGAGATAGGTATGCTAGCACAAACAGGCACACTAACTGTTCATCCTCTTCTCCTCCCCATATAGTACTTTTTGAACTGATGTTCAGGAAACTGAACATCAGTACTTTTTCCATGGACAGCTAAATAAAGCCCAAACTTAGCATTCAAGGTTCTCTATAATCTTTTCCCCAACTACTTTTTGGCACTTTCGCCCTTGCACACATCTCCTGCTCTAGCAGCTTGGCCTTTCAAGAGTATACTCCTGCCTGTTCCACTTCATATCCTTCCTTCAGGAGGTGCCTTCAGCTAAGAAAGCTCATCCACTCCCATCTGAGCCAATTCATATTCTACTCATTCAATGTTCAGATAAAAGGGTAAACTTTTCCAATAAGTCTTACTCGATAACATCATTAACAAATGGAACTCATCATATTCTCCCTGTATCATAAATTATTTGTGCATGCTTATAGCCTGTTTTAAAAATGCAAACTCCTCACGGACTGCAGACACTCACATGTGTCTTTGTATTCCACCGCCACCTTTCCCCACCAGATACTCAAATGCACAGAGTGATGGCTCTGTAAATATCTGTTGAACGAATGAACACTGTTTTTGAAAGTGGAAAATGTCTCTACATAACAGTTTATTGCAAAGACTGAAATGTCCTTGGAAGTCTTTAAAAACATTCTTGTATGGCTTGGGAATAGTTTTGCGGAAGAAAAAGGAACAAATCAGACGACCTTGCAAGGCTGATTCTGCAAATTATATCAACTCTTTTAAAGTACTGCCTAATAAATCAAGAACAAACTACACAAATGCTATTTACAAAAAGAGTAGCATTTATTATAATATGAGTTTAACAACAGATTGTTCTACCAAAAATTTGGGCTGTTCTTGTAATCCTGGTAATATTTTCAGTTGTGTCCAAGGGTTGTAGAAAAAGCCTATTTACTCTCTTATTTCACACTTAAAAGTAGTACAACAGAGAGAAACACTGGCCATCTCAAACTAGTAACAGTATAAAATATATTTGGAAGCACAAGTTCATAACATGTACATATTGATGTCGTCTGCACATCATCACTAAAAATATATCTATTGAACTCTAGAAAAGTTATCTGTAATTTTTATGATTACATCTTCACTAGTTTCTGTGGAGAAGACATACAAAAAGTTTTCGTATTCTCTTCTCCCCTATTTAAGAAAATGCACAATTTCAGTTGGCTAGAATTAGGTCACTTCAGTATCAGTTCGAATAAGGCCATAAAATGAATGGAAACATACTGGTCTCGCCAGAAAAAAACAGGGTTAACACAACGTTCCATAAATCACTGAAGCTGCTTTTTAAATAACATCCTTCAGAAAAATTCTCAGTCAACCTCAGCAATAAATTAAATGGGACAGAAAACTTGATTCCACAGGACAATGCACACACGAAAAACAAACATTTTATAGGATGAAAATCAGGACCTAAATTAATATGATGGCTATTCACCGAAAATAAAATGTAAGAAAGATTAAACAGAGAGTAGAAAATTAAATTTATAAACAGATGTTTTTGAAAGCGTTAAGAAATTTAAAGACATTTCTTTTGTTCTAATATTGTTATATTCTATGTATTTTTGTGAGCCAGCTTAAGTCCTTTGGCGATGACGCTAGAGTATAAATAAATTCTTGTTTTAGAATGTAGTATCACAGAGTATACAATTATTTTTAAAATAAAGATTATTTTCGACCCAAGCATGTATAGGGTTCTAAAAGGTTACGTTAAAGCTATCATTTAAAGTTTTCCAAACGATTTTTAAAGTACCTCTAGTTTTCCTAGGGCCGCCTACTAACGGCAACTAATTCTAAATGCAGTTTCTAACTGGACCAATGAGTAAGGGACTTCGTTATCTACATGGGATCCTGCATTCCCCAGAGCGCAGCGACGTGAGAGTCGGGGCGCTGCCTGGGACGGGAGGTAGCCGGCGAGTTTAGTCACCTCTCCGACGAGGAACACCTGAGGCGCTCGGCGGCGGAAGCAGCCGCTGCAGGGGCGCGCCAGCCTGGGCCGCAGCAACGAACAGCGCCCATGAGAAAGTTGGGCTCCCGACCCTCGGCAAAGCAAGGAGGCTCTTTGCCTTCCCCAAACAGATTTGCCCCGGGCTCGCTGACCCAGCCCGGCCCCACCGAGAGGAAAGGGCTGGGGCTACTCACCGTGAAGAGAGAGGAGCAGCAAAGACGCCAGAGGGGAGCGCCGAGAAGTCATCCCGGGGCCGCAAGGAGCGCGCCCGCCGCCTACCCGGCTCCTAGTCGCGGCAGGAGAGGCGCGGCGTGACTCTCTGGGTTCTTGGGGCAGCCTGGTCCTCCCAGACACAGCGCCCCGCCGCTGTCCTTCAGGCAGAGCTGGGACCGTCGGGCGCACAGACTAGTCAGGTGCAGCTGCAGCGCCGCCCGGCTCCGCGGACGCTGAGCTGTGACCAGAGGCGTCCCGGGCTCGCCAGCAGCGCCACGGCCGCCTCGCCCTGCCCCAGGACGGGCCGACCCCTCGCGCCGCTCGGGGAGCCACTCCCCCCAACTCAAGCCCCGCTACTCCAGCCGCGGCTCGCTTCCTAGCCGCGCCGCCCACTCGCCCGCTCGGTTTCCAGGGCAACCGCGGCTCCAGCGCGACGCCTGGCGGCCCACCCGTGGAGAAGAGCGCGGCACGCAGCTGGCGCGGCCCCCGCCACCTGTGCACCGCGCCGCGGGCTCCCCCGCACGCCTCCGCCAGCGCCGGGAACCGCGGGGCGGGCGCCCTTCTCGCCAGAGTTAGGGTCCGTCCCTTGCTCTGAACCCGTAGGTAAACAGGTGGTGGTGGCCTGATGCATCCCGGGGAGCTCTAGGAAAGACTTTTCCACAGCCTTCCTCGGAGCCTGCGAGAGTCTTTCCCGTTGCGGTTTTCAGATAATTTGGCCATCAGTACTCTCTTCTAAAACTGACATAATCTGAAAGAACCTGACTCTGGCAAAATTAGGAATTCCTAATTTTACAGGTTTGTTTTGTTTCGTTTTTTGGTTTTGTGCTGTTTCCTGAACACGTTTTCACCTTTATTCCTTGAAAAGTGGATAGAAGCTGTAATGCCCCTCACTCCTCATTCCTATCAGAGACTGCCATCTTCTCTTGCTCTTTTTCTAAACCTCATGACAACTTCTAATATTTTACATTTTCCATCTTAAACGTTAGTGCTTTCTTAAACTGATTTTAAGTATATGTTAACTAGTGGGGAGGTGCATTTATTGTGATGGTTGTTAGTTGGATTTTTGCTGTTGTTGTTTCTTGTTTGGGTTGGGTGGGGAGAAAGATTTTCCTAGCATCTGAAATTGTTTTACTTAAATATCTACCTACATCTTTTCTTATAAAACCTGCCTTTATTCCCTTTTCATACTAGGCTCTGTTCTTTATTGTACAGTTCCTAGTCACTTCCTGCTTCAGCCTCCAAACTGAGCCTTCTGAATTTGAGGATACACCTGCTGAGGGAATGCCAATCCATTTTAGTCAGTTTCTATGGCAGCATAAATTAGAATTCTTGGAGCCATTCGGAAACTGAGTCCTTGTCTGGCAAATACAGTCCTCCCAGGGAAACTCAGAAACATAATAATATGCACTGCAGAAAAATATGTAAAACATTTTTTAAACATACATTTGGACATGGATTGGAAGATATATGTAGAATTAAAATATCAAGATGGTGGAGTTATGGATGTACTTTTTTTGAAAATGTGGATGTTATATTTTTAAGGTTAAAAAAGGAAATGTTAAGACGTCTGAATGACTTTTAACAAGAATATCCTGAAAGGATAAATTTTGATTATGAATTAAAGATGCCTCAACTATTGCTCACTACTTCCAACTTGCTAGAATTCCCTACCACATCTCTAATGGCAAGAAATGAATGATATGGCAGTAAAGTTTTTCATATTAATAATAAATTTAAATTTCAAACTATTATATCATCATGAGGCTCACTTTCATTCTTTTAAACTCCAGGGTGAGGACTAGAGTTTCTTTTGTCCATCCAATTCAATTCCTCACCCTGTCTTGTATTTATTCCTGTAGTCTAATCCAGTCATAAGCAGGGTATAAGAGTAAGCGTATATAAGAAGAAAAACAAGGAAGCTGTTAAGTGATAGGAACTACTCAAAGCAATTCTTCACCATAATCCCAGATATAAATATAGAGACAGAATATTTATCCTTTAAATAAATAACCTAATAATCTGAACTCAAAAGCCTGATAAAGCAAGTTATCTGATATATTTATCACATCAATTTAACAACTATTTACCAAGTATCTACACTTTATCAGGCACCAGGTTGAAGTTTAAACCAAAAAAAAATATGACCCCTGACCCCAAATAACTTCCAATTGCATATGGTTTATATTTGTACAATCATGAATCAGCAGATAGAGTCCTGCCTCTTTGTCACTTAAGGATACTTCTGCCTTGCCAGAGAAGAGCTACTGAGTCAGTAAGAGGACAGTGCTCACAGTTGGTTGGAGGAAACCTTTTAATAGAAAAAGAAGCATGGCTTCTGAATGGAGAGTGAGGATGATCAGATTTCAGGGGGCAATCCAGCTACCCAGAAGCATCAGGGCAGATGGTAGATGGTGGATCAGAAGAAAGCAGATCAGGGGTACTGGAAGTTCCAAGTGCTGTACAGGGAGGCTGCCATGGACTCTCTTCCAGGAAACAAACAAAAATAAAGTGTGTTTTTTAAAAAATTCATAGAGATAACACCACTGGCATATACTTTGGGTAATTTTTTATTAGTAATGATGAGTTTCACCAGCTCTTTTATCCTAATCTGCTTTATGACTACAGAACGATTTCATTAAATCCTTTAAGTATTCTGAGTACTAAAGACACAGACAACATGTTATATTTGTATAACACTTTACAAAATTCAAAGTGCTTTCACACTTATTATCTGATATGATCTGCACAGCAACCCCAGGGTGGAGGAGTGAGGCACGTATGATGACCTCTCTTCACACAGGAGGATACTGAGTCTCAAAAAGATCAAGAGACATGTCAGAGATTGCAGACATCAATGGGGAGACCTAGAACCAGGGTCTTCTGACATTTACCATATAGTTTTTCCTACCACACCATGAAGTCTTTTTCTTTTATCTCTTTATAGACCAACTTTTAAAAAATTATTAAAAAATTATAAATCATAGTGCCTTAAAGTTATCTGAGGGTAACACTGTACTTGCCTTGTAAACATGTATCCCACCTCTGCTCCACCACCATCCCTACCACACCCACACACCACCTCAGAAGCTATAAAATTTGGATGAGATTGACCCCACCTCATCTCTAGGGGAGCTAAGGTCAACCTTACCAAACAAGAAATGGAGAGGGGAATGATCAGGACAAGGAACCCTGGTAGAAGACTCTGCTATAGCACCTTTGACTCAAAAACATTGATAACGTGAAACTAAGTCAACTTCTAAAGTTCACATTTTAATCCTAGGCAAGATTCTCTTCTCAACCCATCAAAATGCTGGACCACCTCTTTGCACAATCAGTTAATCTTTATTCAAGAATGGAAAATTAACTTTATTATTAGCTTAGGAGGAACGTAATCAAGAAAGAAAAACGATGTAGGGAATTATAAGGATTTCCAACGCTAAGTATAAATTATTTTTGAATTAGCTATTTTAAAATTTTAATACCTCAGTTCCCTCTTCATTCATGTATATAAATTAAAGGTTAATTGCATTTAAGTTTTGGTCGGTATTTGTCTATGGAGTGTTTTATAAGAACATCATTCTTAAAGTTAGGAAAACCCTATTTGAACCTTGTTTGAGCAGTAACTCATTCTGTGTACAATTTAACCTAACTGCTTAGAGCCAGCGTATAGTCTAGAGCACAGCGTGGTACTTTTAGAAGTAAAATTTGAGAGGAATGCTTCTCCTTCCCCCTCACTCTTTGCAAAAAGTCAGGAAAAACTCTAAAATAACAATGAAGGAGTGGAGAAGAAAATAGTAGCATCATTACAGTAAGACAGCAGGCAAACCAACAAGTGTTTATTGTATGTTGACATAAATAGACCACTTAATATTTTAAAACAACATTCTCAAATTTTAGGTCAACTCATAACCTAGATATATTAACTGCCAATTTTTTTTTTTCTGCTAAGCATCAAGACCTTATTTCAATGTTCAAACAATTTTCCAGAGTTTGATTTTTGGTGGAAAGTAGAGTCCACCTTCCCCTACACACGCCAGAAATGCCCCTAGCAACCAGGGTGCAATCACATAACATAAGGTTTCAGCCAATTAGAGAGGTTCATCTCTGGAATTGTAAGTCTTGAGCATGTGTAACAAAAGTAAGGGATAAAGAAAGGAGGAGGAAAAGGAAATGAATGATAAGACATAAAAGAAGGAAGAGATGAAAAAAAGTTCATTCCACTGTGGTGCTGGGAGTAGTGGTGGCACCGGGAGCTGTCCAGTGAGTCCCCACCAGAGTGTTTCTGTGGTGTCATTTGGCTTTTCGTCCTCTTTTGGTTGCTGCTGCCTATTTTCTGATACTTTAGACTTCCCATATTTTCTATGAGCTACCTAACAGCCTGGACCTTTTCTTCTTTAATGAAACACCATCAGTTTCTGTTATTTGCAACCAAGAACATTGTCTTTAGGATTAAAGTGTTCTGAAATTCTTGTCTTTCCAGAAAGTTGGAGATATTGATTAACTTATAGTTCAGAAGAGGTGAGAAGGGTCCTACCGGATGAGAGCCATCAGAGATCTTTCTAAACCAGCAACATCCAAGAAAAGATTCAAAAGATAAGAAGAAACAACCCTGAAAAGAACCAGAAGAGGTTGAAAAAACGGCCTCCAGTCTGATAGCATATATGACCAGTATGTGGATCAGAGCTGGTGAGGGGTATACATTTTGCACTTAAATTTAATCTGTATTTACGGCATATTTACTATGTTCCAGGCACTGTAACTATACTGTACACTTTAACATACATGGTTTTATTTAAATCCTCACAACAATCCTGTGATATATAAATAGTTTTCTTCATTTTTCCAGGTAAAGAAAACAGATTCAAAGAAGCTTTAAACTGCAAAGTCAAGATGATACAGCTCATAAATAGTAAAGTTTAGAAAGTAAAACTCAAGTTTTCTGTCTCTATGGCTAGTGTTCTTTCTACTATATGCTGATACATCCACTTGAATTAGCACCCTGATTGACAATTTGAAATTGATAACCTTTCTGCTACTAAAATATCTTTTGTTCAAATTTTAGCCTATCTTTTGTATCTATTAATGAACACTCTTCCTTAAGAGATACAGACATATACAATTAAATAGATACCACCCTCTTTAAAAATTCATCAGAAATATTGTATTTTATAAACATGAAAGACTAAATAATATCTGGATTTTAAATGTTTTTAATAATAAAATCAGGAATAACCCATAAAAATTGGAACTCAAAAACAATGAGCTATGCTGTTTCTATGGTAACACAATAAGGGAAAAAAATAGATAGCCTAGAAGATACTTTAATTCAAATAAATAAGTTCACAGTTTTAATATCATTTTTTAGAAAAATCAATATATATCTAATCATTATTACAAAAATCCACATATTTATACCATGTATTCTTAAAGGTGCTGCAGTATTAGAATCTTCTTATGTATTGTTTCATACCTTCTCCATCCTACCTCTTATTAGTTTCTGCTGCAGGCTTAGATCAGCTTCTCACAGGTATAACCTAACACTGTCTTGCTTTGCCTTGGCCTATCTCAAATACCTCTCTCTTCCGGCTCCAGAGATTGTCTGACACCAAGAGGAACCTGGTGCCATAGACATGTGCAGCCTGGAAGCACAGGGGCCACTTTTTACCAATGTAGGATGGGTGTCAATAGATAATCCTTCTCCCTTGCACCCTCCAAGTGGCAGTTTTTAAACACGCTTCGTCAGGCTCCCGGCATGATCAATATCAACCAACCGACAACAAATGCATCTTTGGCTTTTCTTCTTGCCTTTTTCACTTCCCCATCAATTACTCTTTCTCCCTGAAATTTCTTCTTAAATAAACTAACTATATATCAGCCTTTAACTCAGAATATACTTTCAGGGGAACCTAAGCTAAGAAAACTAACTTTAAATAGACTTTATGTATCTATGTACATGGTTCCTACTAAGATTTACCTGTAGTTTTTTTCCAGTTACCAGCTCTTTTTAAATATACATAAAAATTATGATAATAGTATACTTCTTGTCCTAAAGATTTGGGTATGTCTCTATAGTGTATATTTCTTGATGTCTAAAACCAATAAGATAAATCAACAAAATAGAGCCTTTGCATTTGACCTTCTAAATTATAAAATGTTTGCTTAATTTCAGCTCTGCTATATATTATTAATAAATTTGGAAAGTCACCTAACCTCTATATGTCTCAACTACCACCTTATAAAAATGGAATATGATTCCCACTTCACAGGTTATTAGAATTAAATCAGGTAATTTGTATGAAAATGCCCAATTACAGAGCCTAGCTGATAAGCAGCCTGGCAAGTCCGATTAGCTGCTGTTATTATTACCATTATTAGTAAAAATTGCTATTATTTGAAAGTTTGCCATCATGAGAATACAAGATCCACTGACTTGATATTTCCACCCAAACATTTCACTGTGTTGTATTTTGCAGCCATAAGCAAATATTTGAATTACTTTAATGCTTAGAATCAAGATATCTCCACAGAATAAATTGAGAATACCTCTGTATGGATCTTTGAAATGAGAGACTGCAAAACATTATCACTTCAGCAAATGCCTTTGCCTCATAACAAACCCCACTCTGTTCTGCCATCATTGAATTTGCCCTGCTCTTGTGCATGCTTTCATTAATTCAACAGCTATATAAAAATCCCGCTATGATGTGCTGAGTGTAAACTAAACAACCAGATCGTGTAAAATATATAGTCAGATTATCGTGAGATTCTAAAATGACTGGGGTAATAAGTTGCCTAGCAAGATGGCCAAAAATTCCAGAATTCGTGTTGCTGAAGCTGTATCTCTGTCCTAGCTATGGTTTAGCACCACCTGGTGGCACTTCAAACTAAAGCTTAGCTATTGATGGAAATGTTTCTGGGTCCTTATATTGATTGGTACTTCCAGGGTTGCATCAGTGATACCAGGAAAAGTTAATTGGCACTTGTTTCATCAGCTTGATGCAAGAATACTGGGCCATGATATACAGGGACCCACCTTCTGCTTCTCGAGGCAGGATTGGGAAGGATTAACCTTCTAACTTCATTCACCCCACCATGTCCTGCACTTTAGCCTCCACTCTATTTAACTCCCCTCCTGCACTGAGAAAAGGACTGAACATAGGACAATAACTAATTGCCAATACAATTAAATATTCATTCTCATTATTAATGAGGTACCCTGTAATAGGGTTTTGCAGTATTTTTTAGGAATATACCATCTCCCATGCTCTCTCCAGGGTACTGATGATAATACATTAAGTAGTAAAAATCAATAGGTCTTTGCTCTTATGAAACTTTCAGTCTACTGGAAAAGGCAGAAATTTATCACGTAATCCTACAAACAAATGTGAAAAGTGGTATCAAGGAGAGAGGCTAAGTTCTGAATGGACCTGTAACAGAACAATTGGACATAATCAAAGCTGGAAAGAATTCCCTGAAGACATGATTCCTCTACAAAGACTGAGGGTTGGAAAGTAAATAATTTTTGGAACAGTTAAAAAAATGTAGATATTTTGAAACAAAACTCTGCATTTTAATTCTCCTTTGCAAATCATGTTTTCTTGCAAATTTTTCCTTCTGAGGACAAGCCATGAGGGTTTGGTTTGGTTTGGTTTTTCTGCACAGACATGAAAAGTGCAGGTATCTAGAAAAAGGAAGTCATTCTTCTGCCTTGAGTACAATGGTTACTTTTTTTTAGTCCATGCAAAAACACTTTAGGCAGGCTTCAAGAGAGGGGACGTCTTACTTCTGTTGTGTTCTTGTTATTACAGTGTATAGTTTTGTTTGTTTTTAATTTCAATGGTTTCTCTTTATCTAGAGACAAGTCAGATGTATTCGCACAAAGGTGTTATATCGTAAGTCTTCCTGAATACAAACGAGAAGATATTATATAGATGATGCTCTAACCCTAGCAAGAAGGAAAGGAAAATTTTTCAAAGAGGAACCAAAAGTGAGAAAGAAAGAGAAGGCCAGGAGGTCAAATGTGAGTATTCTCATTTTCTCTTTAATGTGTAGTAATGCAAGGAGGCACTGCTGCATTTAAGCAAATGAGCTGTGGAAGAGTGATGGCTGGGAAAATGTCTTGATGGGTGGATAAAAAGATGGTCTCATGGAGCTGGACATGTTCCATTATAGTGGTCCAGAAAGTGCAGAGTACTGTTAAGTCCTTGGTTGAAAGGAGGAAGGAGACTCTGAGATGCCAAGAAAACGAGGAACCTCGAGTTGGATTAAAATGACCACAGATGACGTACTACAACAAAGTCAGAAAGAAGTTCCCCTACATTTTACTCTAAAAGCTTTTTTATTTTACTTTTCACATTTATATCTGCAGTCCACCTAGATTTAATTTTTATAAATGGTATAAGATAGGAATAGCCAAAATATTGACTGTAACTAAGCATCATTTGTTAAAAAGGCTTTTCTTAACTGAACTGTAGCACAGCCTTTGTCATAAATGAGATGACTGAATATATGTAGGGGGTTTTCATTCTATTCTGTTCTCACTGGTCAATTACTCCATTCTACTCCCAATACCACCCTGTCTTAGGTACTGTAGGTTTATAAGTCTTGATGTCTGGTAGTATAAGTCCTCCAGATTTGTTCTTCTGAAGATTGCTTTGGCTACTCATTTTTCTTTTATTTAGAAATCAGCACCTCAATTCCACAATAAAACCTCTGGGATTTTGATTGGGGTTGTACTGAAACTATAGATTTGGGACAAAATATCTTTGTAATAGGGCTTCCAATCTAATCAATGCATTTAGGATTCTTTTATTTCTTGCAATAATATTTTGTAGTTTCTTGTTCCTTTGTAGTTAAATTTATTGACAGTATATAATGTTCTTTGATGCAATTATAAATAGTACTGTTTTTTAAATTTCATTTTCTATTTGATTATTGCTGGCATACAAAAAAAATAACTCATATATCTAACTTGTTTCTAAAAATCTTACAATATTCACTTATTGATTCTAATGGTTTGTCTATAGATTCTTTTGAATAGTCTACATACACAATCATGTCATGTGACAATAAGTTTATATACTCCCTTTCAATCTTTATTCACTTATATTTCTTGCCTTCCTGGGACCGCCAGAAGATACTGAATGTAAGTGTTGGTACCTGGCCTCTTTGACTTATACTCAATTTCATAAAAAATGTTTGGAATATTTTATCATTTTATCTTTTCAAGTAATATATTACATAGGTTTTAAATACATATCTTTATCAAATTAAGAACATTCCATTTTATTGTAAGTTTTCCAAGATGTTAAAAAATCATTAATGTGCACTAAATTTTCTCAAATGCCTTCTCTGTCTCTGATAATGTCATCTCTCTCTTTTTCTTGGTAATATATAGATTGTCTTCATTGATTTTTTTGAATGCTAAACCATCAGTGTGTCTGTGAAATCTTCCTGGTCATCATAATGGGATATGCTTTTTTAATACAACTGAATTTCTTTAATGAATCTACTTTCATGAGACAGTGGTCTGCAATCTTTTTTCCTTGTAATTTCCTTGTCAGGTTTTAGAATCAAAATTATGCTGGCCTCACAAAAAGCAAGGAAGCCAGCTAGGTGCAGTATCTCATGCCCATAATCCCAGCACTTTGGAAGGCTGAGGCAGGTGGATCACCTGAGGTCAGGAGGTCAAGACCAGCCTGACCAATATGGTGAAACCCTGTCCTAAAATTACAAAAATTAGATGAGCATGATGGTGTGCAACTGTAATCCCAGCTACTCAGGAGGCTGAGACAGGAGAATTGCTTGAATCCAGGATGTGGAAACTGCAGTGAGCCAACATCGCATCACTGTACTCCAGCCTAGGCAAAGAGTAAGAAGCTGTCTCAAAAAAAAAAAAAAAAGAATTTTGAAATACTTGTTTTATGTTTGCATAAATTCTTAGAAGAATTTACTTGTATATTCATTGAATGTGTAATTTTCCTCATGGGAAGGCTGTTTTTTTAATGGATAACCTTTTTAAAAAAAGTAACACTTCAGGTTTTTTATTTCTTCTGTCAGCTTCAGTTAGTTGTATTTTTAAAAGATGCATCCATTTCATCATAATTTATGAAACTTTGATGTCTGTAAAATGCATAGTAATGTTCCCTTTTCCATAACTAATACAAGTATTTGTATTTTATTTTTTATCATGGTAAAACAAGCAGACAACAGTTAGGGCCCACCTGGATCAACTGATCCAGGATGATCTCCCTCATCTCAACATTTTAATTACATCTGTAAAGATCCTTTTTCCAAACAAGGTAACATTTGTTAGGACATGGACATATCTTTTGGGGTGTCACCATCCAGCCCATTAAACCTTGGTTTGCAACAGTTTTATAATGATATACCTACATACAGTCTTTTTTGCATTTATCATATTTATAGTTTGCTGTGGTCCTTAATCTGTGGCTTGATTTATTTTCAAAGTTTTGGAATATTCTCAGCTGTAATCTCTTCAAATATTCTCTTTCCCATCTCCATCTTCTCTTTCTGGATCTCTAATTAAACATGTTTTAGACTCTAAGTATGATTCATTCAAAGTGGTGTGCTGGAGCACCTCATACCAGCTTGTCAGAGCCAAGTGTTAAATACTCAGGAATTCTGTGAGATTGTTGTTAAATCATTGATAGCTTGAAATCATCCATGGTGAGAGTATTTACACCATGACAGCCAGCAAACACTGCAAGTTGATACTTTATTTTTCTCAGAGAACTGGATTGTCATCATACCGACATACCTGTTTGCTATACTCTAGTTTGTTCTTTCTACCCTTTTGTCTTGCTGTGCTTCAACTTGGATATTTTCTCTTGAATTGTCTTCCATTCACTTAATCTGTATTCTGCTTTGTCCATAAAACCTATCTATTGAGTTCTTGATTTTAGATATTATACTTTTTAGTTTTATACATCTATTTCATTTCTTATAGATTCCAATTCTCTGGCAAAATTTTCCATCATTTTATCTATTAGTCCACATCCTTTATTTTCTAAATCATAGTTACTTAAATTTATTGTCTGTAAATTCCAGTATCTGGACCATGTGTGGCCCTAGCATAACTGTCTGCTTTTTTCTTCATTATAGATCCTATTTGTCTTGTCTCAATGTAAGTCTAGTAGCTTTTTATTGTATACCAAGATCCATGTATTTAAAAAAAAATGATACAAAGCTCCAAGTAATGTTATCTTTCACCAAAGTGTTTCTCCTGTCCTGTACTAGCATATAGGATGAGTGGTTGGCTGATTATTGCAATCCAATTACTGAGCTGGGTTGGAGCTCAGTTTCAGTGTTAATAAAAGTCAAGTATACCTCTGGCTCACCTCTTTTCCTCAGGCTCTCGTGAGCTTTCTTATTGAGATCCTGGTGAGCTTTCCATTTCTTCAGCTCTGACAAACTGTCAAAGATCTAGCTCTGCCCTTCTGAGGTCCTCAGCCCACCTTCAGCCTCTTGCCTCCTACATTTTAAAATCTAGCAAATGTCTTCAGGAGGAGATCAACTGTATCTTTAAGGAAGTTCCCTTCCCTTGGTGGGTCTTTGTTTCCCAAGTAACATGAGACTATGCAGAGAATTTCATTCTGCCTTTTAGAAGCTTTCAGCTTAGCTCTTCAGCTCCCTGTGCAACACCAAAACTTGGCTAATGTACTGTAGAGAAAAATCAGACATGCATTTAAGTGTTTCAAGTTTCCTTAACCCTGCATGACCACTAAAAACTTTATTTCATGTATTTGGTCTCTGGAAAGTCCCTCAAGCAAGATCCTCAACCCATGCCTATGTCCAGAACAGGCAAAGGCCCCAGAGGGAGGCATTTGTTCATCCTCCTACCCTCTCTAGGTTCTTCCCACTCTAGGATTTTAGTATTATAAACTTTCTCTTACAGCTATCTGATACCTTTAAAAATATATTTTAATTTTTCTGGCCATTGCAATGGAAATGTTGGCCTGCTGCAATCTATATACATCTTACCTATTAGTAGAAATCGATATCCCTAGTAGATTCTGATGAGTAGCCAATCTAAGCAATACTGACTGCATCTAAGAAACTATTACAAGGTTGAGGTCCAGGCTGAAGTACTTAGGTTCTCTCAGCTTTCCTTCACTGCTATGAGATAAATGGGTCTTCACCTACCATGCCTATATGTTCCATGCAGGAGAAAAGAAACCAACCACAGAGCAGAAAAGGCAAACCACCAGTAGGTCACCAACTTTTAAGAAGTATTTGCAGAGGTCCTAACCATAAACTTCCATTTGTTTACAGTGTTGATGCAAAACATATTATTTGTCAACTTCTATCTATAAGAGAGGCTTGGAAATATAATATTTTAAACTTGAACACATTATTGCCCCCATGAAAACTTCATAGCAAAGAAAAAGAGAAAATGGATACTAGGTGAGCAGCTAGCAATCTCTGCCAGAGTTCCATTCTTAGCACTTCTTTTAGCTTCTTTCTTATCTAACTAATAAATTCCTCTCTATAATTGCACCAGAGAAAAATTATTTTCTGCTCCAAGTACCTTATCAAAAGCCCAAAGAATGTTCTGCCATTTCAAATTTGCATGCAAACAGCACAAGTTCCATATCTGTAGTGGTCTTTTATCAATGAGAAGGAAATAATTTTACTGGCAACATATTTCTCTGTCATTCAGTTCTTCTCTCTAATAAGAATTTTTTTGTAAATCATTTATTTACTGATTTCTGCCAAACTGCTTTTGAGGACTCTGGCTTTCAAAGTAACTTTTAAAAATAAGTTTTAAACAGAACAGTAGTTAAAAATAGCTTTGTACTGACTCACATGATAACAGGACAATGATTTATTTCTTCTAAAAAAGAGATCACAACTTAGAGTCTTTCTTAAGTAAAGCTTGTAATGAGAGAATATAAAGGTACAATTTATTAGTGACAATGGTTATTTTCTGTATCTTTGGTAGAGGGACGACAGATGACATGCCTACATTTTAGGAGGCTGAGTTGGTAATCAAGACCA